TTTTTTCAAGGATTGTGGAATTGAAAGATAAGAGTCATTATTTCAATATACCTAATAAGAGTTCATCAAAACATTAAGAAAAACTGTCAGAGATCTTTTTAGAACTACATCATTTCATAGAAACGTTAATTCGATGTAAATTATCGTGTTATCTATATGTATGTTTAAAGTAATAAATCGAGATAAAAAATACTAAAATGCACACAGAAAATGACAGGAAATGTATACGTATACAAAATGAAAGCTCATTAATTTGAAAAACAATAGTAAATAAAAATAATCATAATTATCTGTAAAATGAAGAAACTTTATGCAGTTATAAGTATAACAGCAGTTTTCCAATATTTTTATTATTTCCTCAATATTTCCTCTGCTTCTGCGAATTGTTCTGTTTATGGATGTTTAATGTATATTTTGCATAATCAGTGTTATAAATGTTGCTGCTTTTATCTTGAAAAATATTCAGCGTATATAAGTTATTCAAGGAAAATTACGAAGGTTCACGAAAAGCAATGAGAGATCAATATGCCAAGCCAGAAGAGCATCCAATGTGCATGTGTATTCGTCCTATTATCGAGACGATCATAAACGCACGTTTGCGATCATACGGTGTTTCGCAAGTGATTGTAGCCGTTTGCAAAATTAAATCGACAAACATTCGAGGCCACTTCGGCGCATAACGGAACAGCTGACACACACGGAAAACCCGTGTGTTCCCATGTTCCGCAAGAGAGATTAATACGGCTAAAATTTCGCAATTCCGTAAATTCACGTTTTAAAATTCTGTTTATCGTATTACGATTTCGAAGCCAATTACGACAGTAGCAATGTACAAGAGCACACTTCACGCATGAGTATCGTTTTGACTAAAAATAAAAAATAAAAAAGGAAATAATACACGCGATTAAACACACACACACACACACACACACACACACACACACACACAACTATGTAATTTAAATAATATAAATTTTTTGTGAACTAAATAAACGGATGAGTTTTGCGCCGATGAAATATATATATGCACGCTTATCTCCCCTTAGTTGTAACATCCTGTTGTTACTCGATCTTAAAAATCGTAGTATCATTATACGCGCGTAATTACAAACCGGGCTTTGTCGTACTTCACCGCTTCGCAAGTACAAATAAAAACAGAATGTGACACAAACAGATATCTGTTCCATTGTTATGAGGAAAATTACACAAGAGTCATATGTCGAAATAAATCACTTTAAGATGTAAGAGATACATTTTAGATATTTTACAATAGCATTGTAGTAACTATATTAATAAAGTTATTTAATATATAAAATAATTCTCATTTAAATAAAATTGCTATAATCAAAGCTAAGTGCGGTATTATTTAATATTTTGTTTAGTGATTTCTCTACTAATTTTATTAGTGTATTAACTCGCTACGTTAATTGACGACAGAGCAAGGACACACGTCTATCCTTTTACCTTCAAGAGAGAATAGCATAACCGGTTCTATTTTTTAAATAAAACCATTCAATACCAAGATTAATAAATGAAAATAAAATCACAAGCGCAACAAGTAAACTTATATCTGAGAAATAAAAATTCCGCATAAGAACTTTCTCAATAATCGAAAATTTAGAATATTCTTGATCGCTTTATCGTGAACGCGATATTCCATCGACATTTCGGTGATGCGATGTACGAACGCGGCGCAGCGGTCCAAATTGGAGCCTACTGATTGTGTTCGATTGAAGAAGAACTGACGTGGAAATCGAAGATAGCGAATTCGATTCTCTGTCGTGAGCTATTTAGGCAGAAAGGAGATTGTCGCCGAGGTTAATTTCCGTCTATAACAACTACGACAACGAAGTCTACATCGCGGCCTTCACGGTCACTGAAACAGAGGCACACGTCACCAAGACTTACGTCAGCAATCGGTTCGAGGAGTCTTGGGTCGGTTATAACAAAGATTAGATCGTTATCTTGTTTGATAGATAGCACGATTGCAGCGAGTTGTAATTGCTTAATGTAAAAAAATCTCATCCTCTATGCGATCAGTTTTAAATACGATTATATTGCAATAAGAATTTTACGGATCACCTATAATAATATTCGAATGTTTTTAATTGTAAAAAATCCGCATTTATTGAATATAATCTAATAGAGAAAGTTTTTGTAATTATTTTAATTCCTTTAAAAAATAATACTTGTTAAAAAATCTGCATATTATAGCATACAAATTTCTTTTTAAATTCATAAATCTTATTCTTAAAATATATTTCGTATATGCATACTACACATGCACATACACATGCACGCAAAATCGAAATATCATAAAACAAATCGCAAGTAAAAATATCACATGTTTTTCTGCATGTGTTTGATTAAGTGCTAAAATGAGATCACGTCTGCTTCGTAGAAAGATGTAAATCGAAATCTAAAAATACCGAATCTCCTGAATGGAGTTATATAATTTTCCGAACAAATTACAATCCGGGAATTATTACACAGCGGCTGAACGAAGTGCACTATATAGATCTCCCTGGCGATAGCACTCGTGATAAAAAAAGAGCATGATGAAACGGCATGAACGAGTAGCGAGGAATTTTTCCATTGTGATCGTAGGAGGCGTGAAAAATACGGCAATGGATTCGATGTCAGTTTCAAAATCGACATGTTTCCTCTGAATCGCGAAAAATGATGAAAAATCAAGTGGCACTAAAATTCGGTTCTGTGTTCTTCAAGAAAAAAAAATAGGAAAAAACTTTTTATATAATAGGATTTTTTATCGGTGAAAATTACAAGAATATATTGGACGCATTCACTTGGAATGAGAATCGATGAACGAAACTAAATGAGAGATAATAGAGCTCCATAAGGATTTCAATTTATCAGTTATCAGGCTTATTAACTCATAGCAAAATATATAGGTATCATATACTCTGCAGAAGCAGAAGATCTGTCGGTTGGAAACGTATTGAGTTCAACTCTCCGCCAATTTCGATTTTAAACGTTATCATACAGTACGAAAGTTTCCTTTAAGGCCAGTATGTTACCGAAGCGAAAAGGAATAAGTCTCTACTATATATCTCTCGATTTCAAAATAAAAATATCAAGATATGTTGAAAAGATTACAAAACGTTTTAAAATATCTTTTTCAATAGGATTACGACCCTCTTTAAAATACCTCTATTGGAAATGAAGCTAATATCAGCGAGATCAAATTCAACGAAAACGTATTTGCGGATCGTTAATTGCATATTTAAACCGCTCACCGTAGCATATGTTTCTTCTTTAAATATTAATTCGCATATCCAATTTATGAAAAGAGATCGATTCGAACGATCTTTGCACTTCTTAACTTCACGAATGAATAATGAAATAGAATTTAATTATAAAGTACAAAGCGGTTTCCCTCGCCATAATGTCGAGTTATTCTACATGGAAATATAATCTCTAATTCAAATTCGCATTTAAATTTACCGCAACTATTAATGTCAAGTGGATAAATCTTGTAATTTTAACTTAGATGTTGTGTACTAATCGAGCTGCTAGAACTAAATGACGTAGATCGTTTGTTGCCTGGAAGAACGTGCTATTAAATCTCATCGTGTCTCATTTCAAGCGCATTGTATAATTCACCTTCATGATATCACATTCATGTTTATTCCACCGCAGTGCCTTACAGCACTTCGATTTTCAACAATTCAATTTAAAAATATTCAATACTACTCCTACGTAATTTTATTTTAATATTGTTCCCTCCATTAATATACGATCTAAAAGAAACCGATCTAAAAGACCATCGCATTGCGTAAGCCAAAGCGTATTCGGATCAATTAATCTCATTTTAATAATACCCATTACTCGTCAATAATTCCCTTTCATAACCGTTCTATTTTATCACAGTCGATTAATTAAACAATTCCAATACAATAATTATCACCAAAAGCAGTTGTATCAGCAAATGTTCGTTTCAAAAAAAAAAACGTAAAATCATATTCGCGTTAAGTTTCGTGCAAAATATCTTCCATGACAATTTATAGAGACGCACGAGACTACCCAGCAAACAGATACATCTCAAATACGTAACTTGTAATCTTTAATTTTTTAGCTCATAACAATTATATGAAAAGTTACGTAAATTTGCAAAGAATGTTCTCAAATTTGTCGTCCCACTTTACCTATAGCAGTTACATAACAGTGATATGGTATAAGTCACTTCTCTCAATGTGCATAAAAACGAGAGGGCAATCACTAGCTAAAATATTACATGATTTTATTTGATTTCATACGGTTTTCATCTGATGAAAAACAATTTTCTTCACTATATATGAAATTATTTAGTAAAATAAAAAAAAAAAACGATTATCATATATCTGATATTATATAATTATTCCTATACATCGGGATTTCATATGAATGATTTCAGGAACTATCTATCCCACGATTACATTAAGTGGTTACCCCCTCACATAAAATACAATTAAGTGTAATAATAAAATATGCTCAAACACTGTGAAAAAGTGACGTATAATTTGAAAATGAAATTATGTTATCATAGTAATGTAATTTTATAGAAAAGTATAATTTCATAATTTTAGTAATATAACTGTTATACAGAATACAGTATACATTCCTGCAAATGTAACCAAAGCATGTATAATTTACATCTTTTTCCATTATAGCTTAGTAATGTAAATGTATTTTGTATTTACTATGTCTCATTCAGAATGGTACATAGATAAAACTTAATTACCTATTTACATAATTTTGTTATATATTAAATATATAACAAAAACATGTAACAAAATTATCACATTTATATCAGAGTATTCAGTATCTCGTTTACGCTATAAAGCTGTCTTATTGTTATAAAGCAGAGACATCTGTATAATGATAAAAAAATTATATAACAAAAGTGCGAGTCATGTTTGCTGGGCAGATATTAAAAAAAAGAGACTAGGGTCTCAATTAATGGGTTTGGGACTCGTGATACTTAAATAGCGAAAACTGACCTTGCCCAAATAGCGAAAACCACAGTCCTCCGCGACTCGCCTGGCCACCTCCTCTCCTCCATCGATGTGTGCTGCCCACTGGTTGGTATACGCGCGCGCTCGACCGCCGAGAGTCAGCAGGGCCACGACTGCCAGTCCGAAAATCCGCCGCGTGCACATGATAGCTCCTCCGCTGCACCGACGACGACGATCGCCACCGGCTGCTCCAGTTTCGCCACCCCCGTGAGCCACAGTTATCATTCACTACTATATAGATATATATATATATCCACCACCAACACCACCGCCACCGTCGCCACCGCTTGCCAGCAGCGATATGACGGTAACACCGTGCCACCACGACAAACACCACGATTGTTACGACACACCACGGTTACCGAAACGAAGAAAAGGAAGAATCTGCAGCCTCTACAGGACTACTTTACGTTTTCTCTCTTTCTCGTTCCCTGCTGCGATGCCTCTTGGTCGATCTCTCCGTGTCTTCTTTGTGTGAGAGCTCCCTTTTACGGACCACGCACGTGTACATGCGGACGACGATCCAGGAAAACGCGATCACTCACAGACCCACATATGCGCATCTCGCAGGCACCCACGCGCGTCGTGCACCTGCGGACCAACCGCTTGCGAACGACTGAATCGCCGGCGGCGCGGGTTATTCGTTTTAAGTATCGGACCTCCACCACACCGCGTTGTCAGCCGTTGACTCCTTCGTCGCTATCGTCCACGTGACGTCGTCGCCGCCACTGCCGCCGCCGCCGCCTTCAGTCAACGGGCAGGAGCAGCAGCGGGAAGAGAAAGAGGCAGTCGTCAAGTCATGTGGCCGCCGACGAGTGGGGAAGAAAACGGAATGATTCTCGTGATGACAGTGTCGCGTGCGCGACCACGAACGCGAATGTCCGTTGTCGCGCGCGATCACTGCGGCGATCGCGTATGACCTTCCCGATTCGCGGATATTCACGCTGTACGGACATCCAACGCGACCTTGTCTCACGTCTCCTGCACGCTGATATTCACGTACGCGAGGTCTCAACAAGACCAGAGATTTCTCATCGCCTTCTCTCGCGAAGTATTCTCTATTCCACTTTATTCAAACTGAACTAATAGCCATCCAGATCTGTCAAGTCTTGGATCGCTGCGTCTAATTGTTTTGCTTAATAAAAAAAAGTCTCAAGCTCAGTCCGATCTTCGTCCATTGACTTTCATAGTCACATCCGCTTATTAAAGATTTTCATATCTTCGTACTTTCATTTCTTCAGCTGAAGATGTTTCGTTACTAGATATCTCGTATTTCTCGATTGTCTCCTCTCTGTTACCTTCTCGAATGTAGCGGAAGAAACGTGCACTTCGCTGGCGTTGGAATTTTTCGCCTAGACGACTCAATTACTTGCGCGGCGTCGTCAGCGTTCCGTTTTTCACGCGTCTATCATACCTCCAGAATTCCACCTCTTACATCCGTTTCTTCGAGTGTCAGCAAAGCATCTGGTCAGATCCTCCTTTCGCGCATTTCATTCATTCACCCTTCGTTTTGTCTAGTATACGATCCCTCGTTACACAGATGGCACAGATGCCCTCACGATCTTGATATCCTCTCGCACATCCTCTCTTTTCGAGAACGTCAACGAGTTGACGCCACGAAAGACGCCCTCTTCTTCCATGAAACTTTTACGACGTCTCTTGATTCTTTCGAAGAAGAAACAAAATTCTCAGCTTTGTTTCAGTGTCTTGTCGTGCTCTTCGAGTTTACAACCATGCCCGGTCACGAAGAAGTGAATGGCCAACCACTCGAACGAGGTCACGGCGCGTAGCTGACCGAGAGGTCGATCACGTCATCGAGCGCCGCATCGTTCCCTCCCTTGGGTGCACCGCAGGAGACGAACGACGAGATGTACCGCCAAGGTCCTGGTTGAGTTAGACACCTCTCTTTGCTTTAGAACGGGTCTCGGGCTGCAAACGATGTTAAGAGAAATTGATTAGTCGAAGTTTCGAACAAAAACTCTTAGTTAGTTTTGGATAAAGTAAACTCCGGTAAGATGGCAATACGGAAAAGATGGCGATGAGCTTGCCAAACGACTTAAAAAATGCTCTATTTAGCAATTGTTAGAATTACTTTATTATTTTATAATATAATTATATTATTAAGGAAATACAGCCGTTGACTGTAATTTCTCCGTAGGGCCATAACACCAGAGTTTACCCTCCTTGAACTTGCAAAATAGCAGTTGAGTTACTTAAAATGCCTGATAATCACGAAAATTAATTTCAGAGCAAGTTCTGGTACACGATGCTAGTGTACATTATACACTTGCTAAAAGCCTGAGTTGGTCAGTTTTGTAATTTATGAATTTTTATATCAACTTCAAGCGCCAAAGAACTTTAAAAATTACAAACTAGAGGGAAATTAATTCTGAGGAACAGTTTAAAAACAGTTTAAAGTATACACATGCAAACGCACAATACAAACAGGCTGGAAACTATTTAAAGACGTTATCTATGTGGATCTCTCGGCATTTCGTAACATTATTCTCCATCGTTAACGATGCATCGCATCGCCAAGGACTCACGCTTTGTACTAGCGTCACGTTTGAAGAACGCTCAGCCCAGTCAGCATTTCGTGCCGAAAAAAAAAAAAAGGATTCAGCCCAGCGAAATCCACGTCGGTTTACGGTGATTACGGCACGAATAGTTTCGCCTCGACGAAATTGCACTCGCCACATAACGTGACCTGATTTTCCGTTATGGATTAGAGTTAATTTTACAACCGCTCGGTGATTCCGCATTACAGGAATGAAATGGGAACGATGTTACATGATTTTTGATGAGAGCCATCGCTATAACGTGGCATACCATCGAATTAATCGTCGTATCAAGCTCTTACTTAACTTTCGTTACACTATATAATTCACGTACACGATGCTATCCATTGATCGTAGATTAAGCGCAGGAAGCAGAAACTTGCGTTTCAAACACATCAGAAAACACATCATTTGAGATCATTTACTGCAATTATTATCGTCACAGTAATCGCATTGTAAAATGTGACTTAATTTTCTACTTGTAAAACATATTTCATTAACTTATAATTGTCATTTTTCAATTATTATTAGATCGTGTTGTATATATGAGGAGTAGACTTTCAAAATGCGTTTTGTCCAAAATTTAATTTTTTTTTTTTTAAGGTGGCATACTGTTGAAATAGAGTTGCTATAATAAAGGTTAGAACAATGTGCCGCCATTAATAACTAAATTTACGTTAATTTTATTACACTAATTTTGTTACTATAAGATGACTAGATGTTGAAAGACACATATTATGAGCTATTTTGAGATATTCAGAAAGCATTTTTTCATCGACAATTTATATACTAAAAAAAATATAGACATTTCAAAGTGCATTATTTTTTTTACTACAGACAAACAAAATGCATTTGATTAACATTTTTAGCAATTGTTCACAGTAATTTTGTTTAATCGTTACATCCTACTGATTGACATATCGTTTTTCTATTTTTTTTTATAAAGTGCATAGTTTTCTTGTGTGTGTGTGTGTGTGTGTGCGTAATTTCTGTTTTTCTCGTTTTCTAAAAATTACAAATTTTTGATAAAATGCACTTTGAAAGCTTGCTGTTTATATACATTTATGTATTTTTATATAACTGTATAAATGTAAATTCTCTTCAATTGTATAATATTACAAAAATATACATATTTTTCGAGTATTTTCGGAGTAATCGAAAAAAACCTCTCTAATAAAAAATGTTATATTAATTAATTACTTAATCTATCACAAAATTAAATCATTTAATTTCTTCAATTAAACTATCTCATTTAAATCTTATTTCAGATTCCTTGTAATTTTCACATTTTATTTCTTTTTTCATCTTATACGATACAAAAAATATATGAAATGATATTGTTATAAAACAATTTCTGATGATTAAGACATTACAATTTAATTTCTCTGTACCGTAACAAAAGTTTATATTCCTCGCGCTTTACTCGTCGCAATTTTAGTTGCAAATATACAATACTTGCAAGATTCTAACAATTTACGAAATCTATCTCAAGGTCAAGAACTCGTGCTTAACTGTCTCTTGGGTGCTTTATTAGCGAACTATAAATCTCCGTAGTGAAATAAAGAGTGCTGTAAGCTTCACATTATCGTCACGTTCAAAGGACTTTTCGAGTGAGTCAACCTCCGGAAAAAGGACTCGACATTGGTTCGCTCGGACTGTTGCAACCAGCAGGAACATCCAGTTCGCGCCACGAGGAAATTGCATTCGCGAGTTGGTCTTCCACCAACCTCGTTTCGTCCCCCTTCCCTTTCGTCCAGCCAGAGTCGTGATAAAGAGAGAATAGAAAAGGGTTGCTAGAGAAGTGAATTAAATTTAAGCCAACTCGCGTCCTATCCAACTACCCCCGTCCTCATCTCTGACACCATCCTTTCCCTTCTTTCACAATCCTCTCGCACTTTGTGTCAGGTTTCTCTTTGTCGTTCTATTCTCTTCGTAGTTGAGCCGGCGCAACCGACCGGCCGAGACGACAGCAATGGCCCTCTTTTTAATTTCGAGATAAAAGAGGGCAAAACTGCCATTCAAGGGAAGCTGAACAGAGGGGGCAACGGAGGGTCGAGTTATAAGTCTTGTCGGAGAGAAGAAACGTTCTTTTAAAATGGATTCAATCTCTTGACTAAAGTGCGGTCGAACCAAAATGAACGAAACGATTGGCGGATCTTCCGTTAGGTATATATAATAATCGCCTTCACGTTGGAAAATGATCTCCACGAACCCATCTTAGTTACTACGAAGTAGTGTCTAACCTCTACCTGACTATACTAGCTCGAACTCAAAGACAATGACTTGCGGTGTTCTGATTCTATAATATAGAGGCAAAGGAAGTGAGAGTTGAAATGAATCAAAATGTTACTTTAACAGAATCTTAATTTAAAGTTTACTTAAACATTTAACGTTGAAAATATAAGCTATATCAAATTTTCATCAAAGCAACATTACCAACAAATTAATAAAAATTAGCAAATTGAATAAA